CTTCTGCGGGTGGACTTTGGTCCATATCTGAAGCAACAGATGACATTTGATACTGTTCAGTAGCAGAAGAGTCATTGTCCTGTTTTTGCATCTGCTCTGTTCCTTGGGCACCATTTTCATCATCAAGTCTCGTATTGTTCTGAACCGTACCTGAATACTTATCAAGATGACTCTGGATTTCATCAGCTAACGAACGCTTGCGCTTGCGAGGCTTGTCTAGTTTTCTCCTGGAAATTCTGGTATCTGTTTTATTTGAATCTTCAAAAAATACATCCTCAGATAAAATGTCAACCTCTTTTGTGTTTGATATCTTTTCTAGTGCAGCCTCGGGTGACTGTGTTTCATGACTAGAAGAATGACTTTTCCCAGTTGATGAAGCCTGGCGACTGCCATTCCTGTTAGCACTAGAAGAGGCCACCGTGCCATGAGGAACTACGGAAGGTTCTAAACTGGGAGTATCTTTTTCTCCATTTTTGCCAGGGTCTGAAAATGCAGATAAGATTTTTTTCATTCAAATGCATGAAATATAGTCAATAACACAATATACAAAAATTAAACAAAAATATAAGCCCGAGATTCAATAGGGTTTAGTAATGATAGATGGTTATACTCTTTTTTTTTTTTTTGCAAATTTTAGCCATTTTCAACATCATAATTGGCTAATCATTGCCAAAGTAAACTTCACTTTAAAATCTTTAAAAATATAATTTTTTTAACATTCAAATACTAAATATAAATATACATATAGGTAAATAAGTTGAAATAAGGACACACTGTAAGCCCACCTTGATCAGATCCAGAGTCATTTTCAGAGTGGTCAGACTGGTCAGGATCAGGTGTGAAGACGGTCTTCATCTGACTGGTGTCCATGATGCAGTTGGAATACTCAATACCACTACAAATGAAATGTTTCTACAGTTTTCACATAGTTCTTGTAACAGGGTGTTCTTAAAAATTCTATAACATATGTGCATTTGACATTTAAACAAATAAGCTCCTGAAAATGTCGACAGTTTTCCATTTAATCATCAAGGTATATTTTCAAAACTACTAGGAAAATATGTCTAATACCCAGTTTCTAAATTTTCTTTTTATACTGTTTCAAGTGAAATCCATCAGTCTCCATCTCTATTTAAGACAAGGTTGTTTCTAAATTATTATTTCACTTCAGTCGCTAATAGTCACAAACAGATACTGGGATAGTCAAGGTCTCATTAAATATTAGCAATATGATGTAAACCAATTCAATCTTATCTATGACAGAAAAAAATATCTTCATGCTAGGATCATTACTAGAAACAGTCTTGGCAATCTGATTACCTTAATACCGTATTGACTCCGATGATGGTGCTGATAACTTCATCATTCTTATTCAGTATCATCATCGCACATGTCTGCACCCATACGTAGCCACCATGTTTGTTCAGCATACGGTAGTAGTCTGTCAACACCTGGCCTTTTGACAATACTGGAAACAGCAGACATTGAAAGTTTCAGTAGATTTTATGTTACATAATTTCACATGCACTAGACAGGAATGATGGTAATTAATAATGAAACATAAAAATTCCTGGAACAGAAAAAGTTGTATATTGTTATGTAATGATTTTCATATGGCAGAACATATGCAGCCAACAAACCAACAAATTAATTAATAAATATTGCAAAACAGACATAGTTAATGAGAGTCTTCACCAAAATACTTCTTATTACATCTTTCTTCTACTGCCTGGACAACTGAAAAGGTTGCCATCAACAGTAACTTCTGAGCCAAAGTTACAATTCTAACTGACAACATTTTAATATTTTTTTTCCTTTTCTTCAACCAAAATTATTCACTGTGTTATTTGAAACTGTCAAAAACATGAAGTGAAAGAGGGAATGGAGGGGGGATTCCTTTTATTATATATTTAAACACAAGCCAATTCAAATCTTAAGTTCATCACATGGGGTCCCTTTCACAATAAATCTTAGTTCTTAGGCTGAGGTAAGGTTGTTAACATTGGGTGGCTGACTACACCAAGTTGACTTTCCACTTTGACTTGAAGTCTTACGTGAGTGATTTGCCCACGATAAATGTACTAAGTGACATACCCAACTAGGCAACTGACACCCCAGAGAGTGTCAACTTCTGTCACGACAATCACTTGCTCAAGGGTCTTAGTTCAGAAAGAGAAGAGGTCTGTGACATTTAGAATCTTTGTGCAATCCAATTTATCGAAGTCCTAGTGGACTGAAATTTTAGCCCCAAACTGAGAACCAGACCCCAGCTCCAGCTTAGAATGCACTTCAAATATAACAAACACAGGTCAGGCCACACCTTATTCGCATGGAAATTATAATTTTGTTGCCAGGTCACTGCCCTTTTTCAAAACAAAGAAGAAAATCTGGAGATGTGACAATAAACAAGGTTGTCCTTTAACACTTGGTGACACCTTCACCTCATATTTAACAATTGTAGCCTGCAGCATATAGTCCAAAGGGCAATAAATGAATGAATACCCAAATGGCATACGGAACTGCTTGATATTCTGTATACTAACATATTTCTGTATATTAATTACCACAAAGTAATAAAATGCTTTTTGTACATATTATATTCATGTGTGCAATATAAAAAACAGAACAAGAACAATGTTTTGACAAAAAAACTCACAAAAAGTACAAAATTATTTCAAAATGCGAAAAAGAAAATCTTGCTTCAGTAAATAATGTGATAGATCCATATTAAATTAAACCTTCTGAATTATTCAACTGTTCAATTAATGAATTTTATCAACAGCAGCCTCTTCATACAGGTCCTGTGCGTGACAGCTTCTTCATATTTAAACCTCCATACGTGCACTCTTTTTACGCTGACAATCAGTGGTAAGTTTTATTGCAGTTCATTGTGCCAAGCACCAATGTGTATCCAGTTTTATATCTGGATGCTAGGGCACAGGGCTAAGGGCCCATTCACAATGAATCAATTGCACCAGCTACTGCGCACTAACTCCAGGGGGACTCTAGCTGAATGCAATCAGAGTAAGGTCTCCTTGTTTCCAACACACTCATATAATCATCAACTTTTTTGTATTGTGCTCAATGCCAGGAGTTTGCATGTTAATAAGTGAGAGAGCCTGCGGAGTTGGTGTGGCAATATCTAGGTCGATAAATTCATTGTGAACTGGCTCTAAGTGAATAGATGGGTCTAACATCTGATTGGTATGGTAAAATTCTATCAAATGTTGTTGAAGTTAAGACACAATAAAGGGGGGTTTGTATGGAAAATTAGAAATGAAGAAGCTGGTATACATCATGCTAACACTGTACTGCAACTGTTGCACTCACAATCTACATGAGATTTCCGAATCCTCTTCAAATCTTCTGCATGAATGAAATCATAAAGACTCCTGTTGTTGAGATCATCTGGAGATATGTTCATCAATTCACTAATTCTGGAAATAATTGAGAAAAATAAATCTGAATATTTTTTTTCTGTATAAAACTTAATTTCAATTTTAATGTAGTTCTTGAAAATGTATTTGATATCTCTTGTAGAACTGAAGCAATGTAAGTATTATTCTGTACGACATAACTGTTACATTATATTTTTTGTTATAATTATTAATATTATTGTTTTAATGATTACAAGTGTGAAAACATGATTTTGATTTTTGTAAATGTGTATTTACTGTTATGGCAATTTTTACTGATGCTGTGACTATAATATAATACATATAATACATTAGCCTGAACTTGTGATAGAGATCCAAAAACAATAAAACTGTGAAAAATACCCACAGAGTTAACAGCTGGACTCTCTCTAGACACTAAATTTTAGCCAAATGTTCAAATTGGTTAAGGAAGAGGTAATATATTTACCCTTTTTTGCCAAATGTACCACTGTTTAAGATTTAGAAATAAGCTAAAATTTGATTTAGTTAAAAACATCCAGATCTTGCTATTCCAGGGAGAGTCCAGAGCAGAGTAAACAGTGTCACTACATGAGTTATAAACATCAACACATCTTAAAAGTCAAATGTCCAAATTTAATAAATTTCAAAAACACCTTGAAGTTTGTTCAAAGGCCATAATTAGTGACAAGTAGCAAGAACGATATTGAAAAACTGTAAAAGAAAATCTGTACTATGAAAATAATATTCACAATGAAGTTGTACACATTCTACTTTTTGCTCCACTTACTTTGGTTCACAATAAGAAACAGTAAAGTCTAAACCAAGTCTCGTCACAAATGTGTCGTTCTCCATCCGTAATTCACTTATAGTTGGAGGTGGCAGCGCCAGTGCTATGCCAACAATTCCAATAAGGTGCGGGGGATGCTTCCTATTAACGGAGAAACTGAACTGTGGCCGCATATGAGCAAGTATATGGACTACCTGGTGAAAAAAACAGCATTTTTTATGACATTGGAATTCATTAAGTCAGAAAGCAGCAATTATTTTTACTACAAAATTAAGTAGGTAAAAAAAAACATATTGAAGTACGCATAAGTATATTGCAGTGATTTTTGACAACAAATGAATGGTAGAAGAGAGAGGTGTGTGGCACTACTTGTACTGTGTACCACCAGCAAACAAATTAATGAATCGAAAATGCACTTTATCAGATTTCTTCGGCTTTGAAAGATGAAGTCTCTTATGTGAAGTTATGAGAAGCAAATGACTTCATCTGGATGTACTGCAAACCAACAAAAATATTACAAATCTAAATTAACAAGACATAAGAGATGGAACAAAACTTGCAACGTGACAATTTTTTTCCTTTTGCTTTTCAATCATAACACATTCTTACTCTATATCCAGATGTTTTAACATGTACACCTCTCTTAGTTAGTGTGGATTTCATACGAATACTGAAGGATCTGTCAAAACCTTTGCTTAGGTTAGGGGTCATGATACCAGCTGGAAAAGATACAGAGATAAGATTATAACATTTGCTGTAATACTTCTGCTGAAATGCTTTCAGGCTCAATTACTGATGTTCTTATATTCTAAATGAAGTAAGATATCTACTGATATTAGGGTGAAATCAACTTTTAATTTAAAAAGAGATAATCAAAAAAAGAATTGCTTTAAAATAAGCTCAGAATAATTGTGATGTGGTCTTTATTTTAGATGATATGAAGATGTTTCTTGATATTTGGGTTGAANGCGAATGCATGCTCCCATTTTGTGTACAGGTAACACTCCGGCAATCACGAGCCAGACTCAATTTCTCTGCATTGGCTTCAATGGGATGTTGTATGAGGCAGCCCGTTGGACGCAAGGTACGTTATAGCCCTTTTTTTAGCATAACAATTCTTTATCTAAATGTTGATTTACACTCTTGATTTACAGAAATTACTGGATGTTGCATCTGCGTAAAAGTTAGCGTCTAGTTTGTATAGGGTGTTGCTCACATCTTGAAAGTGCTACGACACCGTCCAGCATTTGGATTCTGGCAATAACGTATGTACCAGATAACGTTTGGATTGTCTAAGATAATTTCAGGATTAAGAAAAGCAATTTGTTTCGTGTATATAGTTTTTTTTAATAAATACATGTATATCTCTCTATGCTATTATTAACTCGCGAAATTTAGAGGAGGCAGCTGGATGCGGCTTGAGCACCTTTTACTGTGGAATGTGTTAGATGAGAAGCCAATGACATTATTGCTTGGAGAGAATCGTAAAAATAATAATAAATGATAATTCTGAAATAAGGTCATATTTATATCATGCTAAGGTGATAGCCTCAGCCCAGTTTTGATGTTCGTGATTGTATAATGGGAACGCTGAGCTTCCTGTTACTACACAGCGTACATACGTAATACCGAGCGAGGATGAATCGGGATAGAAGTCTTCAGAATTCAGAATAATTGCTATAACCTCCGTTTTGGTGGTAAAATAGAATTTCTAATATTATTTCTAAGTGTTGTTTTTACAATGTATTTAATGTGGAATTTTGAGTCTCATATGAAGAGTTGGTGTCCCTTTAACAACTTAAAAAGAGCCCAACTCTCAAATTAAAATTCTAAAGCCTCTTAACTTTGGCACCAGCCCCCTTGGCCATTCTAGGGTGTAACAAAACTGAGGGTCCGTGTGACAGAAAGTCCGCCCTCCATTTAGATATAATGGTTAGGGTTAGCCTGATCTAAGTGGGTCAAAATCTAGGGCGAGGCTTACCTGTAGGCCTACAAATAAATAGGAAGCGGACCCTCTATCATGAGGTGGGAAGGGGAGCTCTCTGTCACGTTACCACAGTAAACGGTCTCAAATTTGTCACCCCAAGGGGCACATGTTAGTGGCAGTTGAATCGGGCTATTGAAAACAGGGCTGGTGGATTGCACGTTATGCCGCCCAATGGTTAGCCTGTTTGAAATTCGAAGTTGACAGTGATTGATTTTATAATATTTAGCCAATGCGTTTTCCTTTAAAAGATTGTTAATCAATATTGTGACAACACATTTACATTGACCTTTCCAGGCATTCTGAAGCGAACAGTTTGTATTTTTCCATTCGGTTGACGCATTCTCGGACAAGGTCTTTGTCTATAAATGACTCCAGCGTGGTGAGGGCGACCACAAAACACGAGACGCGTTACACTCAACACACATCTAGACGGCATCATGCATCTGGACGATTTTCTGAAGATAGTCGGGGAGTTCGGGAGATACCAAAGGCTGCAGTACATCTCGATATGTTTGATCAACATGTATGCCACTTTTAACATGTTGGGCTCAGTCTTTTTTACGGCCACCCCCAGTTACCAGTGCAAGGTACCGCAAGTCTACCAGAACGTCACCCTCGCGCCTTACAACAACCTTTCCTCGCGACTCTTCCCGCCAAACACGTCATTTCCAACAGACCAAGATGTCAATAGAGTGGTACCAGGCACATGTAGCATCGTGATTCAGAACGTTGGAAATGATACAGAAAACTTCATATCGGCATGGACGGGCCAGTCTGATGGCAATCGCACAGAGCTACCTTGCCCTGAAGGGAGGACCTACGCTAAAGACATCTACACGTCCACGGTCGTATCTGAGGTAATTTTTAATGCAAGCCCCGTGTATGCAAACTCTCTATTGAACGATTATCAGGGGCGGATCCAGAGATATTTTCTGACAGTCTTCCACATTATCTTTGTTGACCTATCCTCCATTTTTGACCGTCTTCCGACAGAAAAATGTTGATACCTGTGAATGTAAACTTGAAAATCTGACCATCTTCCGGAAGACCCAGAAGACGGCCTCAATCCGCCCCTGATTATGAACCCAAAAAGTCACCCATTATATCAAAGTATTACACAATATTATCAAATGCGACATAATGAAAGCAATTGTTTGTATCTTTTAGATTAGTTCAACTAGCAATATGCTTGGTATAAACAGGGATGACATTTTCCGACCGTCGGTGTATTTTTGGCTTTATGGGGTTCCAAAAATATCTTTGGCCTAGGCAGCCCATGAAACCCATGCCATTTTTTCCGACCTTTTCATTAAATGGTGATCTCATCCTGTATAACTCCTTTCATCGGCCCTCATGTTTCGAACCAGCATGTGTAAAACAGTTTCATTTGACCAACACATTACAATGGGAACATTGAATATTGTCTGCATGTTTATGCTACAGTTTTGCATATCAAATGAACATTAAGAGAATATTGTTGTGCGCATTGCATGTATCATTCCATTTGAACAGTTAATCTCATCAATAGATCACATTTAAATGTATTAACAGTACTCAGAGATGCACATAAACGGAGAGGGGGGATACGATTATTTTAAAAAGGATCTGGAACAAAATATTTAACGTTTTCTTTCTTTTGAATATCTGTTGAGGCAAATAACCAATTTACTGGAGTTGTTCTTTTTTCTAAAACATATTCAAGGGTCACACCATCAACATTACTTTCTTTTAAGAAAACATGATTTTATCTAGATCTGTCTGTGAATTATTTTCAGTTTGATCTAGCGTGCGGCAGCGAGTGGCAAGTCAGTACCAGCAAGTCAGTTTTCTTTATAGGGAAGCTAATAGGGGACATCATATCAGGCGTTATTTCAGACAGGTATGTCTTCAAAAATCCACTTCCAACGCCTTAAAACTATAGCAAGAAAAATAATAAAAGAATAAATAAATTAAAAAGATTACCCCCCCCCCCAAAAAAAAAAAAAAAAAAAAGAAATTCGTTTTTGGGTTCCATAAACCGCAATGAGATTCGTGCGTACTTAAAATGCATTAATTTGATACCAAATCATTTTCTATTTGAGAGGAGAGCAGGTCGAATTCATTTAGGTTTCAAGAAAAAAGTGAAATTTTCCGGTATGAGAATATGTAAACGTTCAAACCTATACTTCTATGTAATCTGTCTACTAAGGAAAGGCACACAGGAGTGCGCACATATTTGAATGGATTGTACTATTTCAGGGAAATTCATGAAAAAAGCAAACCTTAAACGTACTATTCTTTTTTCAAAGGTTTGGTCGTCGCCCCTCGGTGTTGCTGGCTCTGATGGTTTCCGTGTTGCTGGGGATAGCGACGGCGCTCATTCCCAGTATGGTGGTATATGTTGTATCTCAGGGTATCCAAGGCGTGCTAAATGGGTTTTATTTTAACGTGGCTTACACCATAGGTATGTATATGTGCATGTTTAAGTATACAGGTATTCTAACGATTTTTCTCTTCAAAACTGCAGGCATCATTTGTTAGGGAATAAGCAGAGGCATGCATTGCATGGTGTTAGAGAGAAAACTGTTCGTATGAGATTTATATTTCACAATAAAAACATTGTTCACAATTCATAGAAAAATAATAAAACCTATTTTACCACCAAAACGGCAATGATTCTGGAATCTGAGCTTGCCATCAAACCACGTGGACCTTCAGAGATGTCTATATCTCCGTAATTATCTCTTAAGAAATATTTACAAAAATATTTTTTAGAAAAAAAAAACATAGACAAACTTTGAATGTCCGAAATAGATTTATTAACCATTGGTAAGCATGGGAAATTGTCGTTTACCCCAAATATTTTTTTCCAAAACGAATAGTTGTTATCCCTTCAAGCTGGTGTTCTGGAAATGCAACAATTATTTTGCTGTACTTCAGTGTATAGCCATTTTTGCCGCCTTCCAAAACAACCTATAGTCGTCGTAAATGTCAAGACATAAGAATGTTCATATCTTCTAGGTCTGTCCTGCTTCTGTATTGTTTTGATATTAAAACACACATGATGTTTTTATTACCATCTGATATAGGTTGTGTGACAGAGCAGGGGGATTTTATATAATACAAAACACAGCACACGCAGAGTAGTTCATGCCCTATGTAAATCTCACTATGCAACACCATATTATTGTTTCTCTATTGGTCACACGCGTTGGCAGTTTTCAAATGATAGCCTATTTATTGGTTCTAGCACAATTTAGGTTTACTAAAGTATAGGCCGTGTCAGTATTTTGTCATTTTAGGCAATCCAAGCCAGGATTTTAAACGCATTCTAAATTCATGGATAGCTTATTGTTGAACTTATCTGAGAACAATAAAACTTTTAAAAATAGGTCTATAATGACATATATATGACCTTTAAAAACTCCTTGTCCCCCGTCCAACCTGGTAGTCAGTCACAGTTTGAAAAAAACGCAATTTTAACTAAATCACGGCACAATTGTCTCGGAATATCCGGAAGTAGAGCCATTGGTTGAATGGCGTATCAGGAAAACCTGCGCTTAAGCGCAGCTTTGACCTTTAGCTTTTTTTTCCAAAATTGTTACAGAGTTATGGCAAATGTCAGAGAAGGAAGATTAAAGGTGGGTAAGGCGGGGGAAAATGCTATTACCCCGAAAATATTCGTTAATTATGAAAAAAACTGTTTTGGAATGCTTAAAGGTACAGAAGGGGCCAGCGTGTATCTTCTCTATAGACAGGCGATGGAATACTATTAGAAACCCAAATTAATTAAATATATCCTATTTTAATTTGTAATTGAGCAGAATGCATGACTATTTGAAATTTTCTCATTTCAGCCGTTGAGTTCGTGGGTCCAAGCAAGCGCAATTCAGCGGCTATTTCAATGACCTACTTCTTCACATTGGGCTATTTTGTCCTCGTTCTCTTTGCCTACTTCATCCGTGACTGGAGACACCTTGCTCTGGCCCTGTACGCACCTTGTATATTATTTGGATTCTTCTGGCTGTGAGTATTCGCCTTTCAGTGGGTGGTTGATAATCAAAAGCGTTGAGAACGGGAATGCGTATATTTGACGACCAGTGTTCGAAGGTCTGTTCCAGAGACCCATGGCATCATACTGCTGACGCAGTATTTTAACTGGGAACTTTTCTTTAACTTTTCAGTTCCACTTTTCAACTATCACCAAATTACTGTGCAATTCAAAATTAATGGAGCTTTTACAAACATTGTACTCCTTCAATAATGCATACATGTATGCACATTTCTATATAGGCCTAGCTTGTTTTAGCTTTGGCAGATTACAATGAAATTGTTGGTTTTTCTTCAAGGACGCTACCAGAATCGTTTCGTTGGCTATTGTCTAGAGGTCGGCATAGTGAGGCTGAGAAACTGCTTCGAAAGGTGGCAAGATGGAACAAAGTCGACGTGAAAGAGGGGGACATACAGGGGGTTCTAAAAACCTCTAGAGACGCCAAGGCGCTGGCCGAAACCTTCACTCCGTTAGACTTAGTGAGAACAAGGCGTCGACTGGCGATCACTGCGAGCATGTGCTTTATCTGGTTAGTGTTGTCTTACCCAGTATAATCTATACTGCATTGGTTTTATTGCCTTGTTGATTGCCTATGCGTACATGTTCTTCCTTCGTGATCTATTCTAGGATGTAACACGTATTTTTGGGCCGTTATTTTTGTACATAACGCTTCAGTGATGACATATAACAACTACTGCATCAATATTTTTGTGATGGTTGTAACATAATGTGTTACACTGATATTTCTGAGATAACGAAATGGGATTTTTTTTTTTGGCGATATTTGCGATCAAATCATATGAGACATGTATTCTTCTTCTCGATAAAACTAACGAGCCATCGATATTCTGGTGCTCTCTTACTGCCCAAATTGCGAAGAATGCGAGATTTGTCGACCATGTCGCTTAATTAAAACATTATTGGTTACTTTTCCATAGATGGTGGATCGAAATGTCATGTTTAACTCATGATATTTGGTCTCTAAGTAAAAAGAATAGTTCCTATCTATAGATCACGAAAACATCTTTCATAAAAAAGCCTTCTTGTTCCCAGGATGGTGAACGGCATGGTCTACTACGGTGTTTCTCTGGGAACGGAAGATCTAGGCGGCAACCTCTACGTTAACTTTACCCTGATGGGCGCCATTGAGATTCCAGCTTACGCCTTCGCCATATATGCCGTAAACAAGATCGGAAGACGCACCACGCTGATTGGTACCATGTTACTTGGTGGCATTGGCTGCTTGGTGTCTGGGTGCCTAACTTCTGGTGGGTACACATTTTAAGAACATTCGTATTTAGTCTTGCTTCACAAAACGAGAAAATTCTAATCTAGATTATATAAGCATCTGTTCAAGTAACGTAGGTTTTATTTTCCAAGTACATTGTTAATAAGATTTTTTCCTTTTTGTTTTGTTCAAGTTTTGACAGTAGATTTGTATTTCAGTTTTATTTGATTATATCTGGCGTGTCATTACAGGGAAGTCAATAAAGCCACCATCCATATCATATACATAAAAAAATCGAAGTGTCCAAAGCGTTAATCAATAATGAAATACATAAATTGGCATTAATGTAAATTATGAACAGGCCATTTGATGGATGACGATGAAGCGATTATACCGCCAGCTTTTCTGTTTATTAGTCATATGGATTTAAACCATCCCACCGCAGCCACTGATTTACATGTAGTTTGCTTACGTCGCGGACAAAAAATTGAAAAAAATGAATTGCTTTGTAATTTGTAATTTCGTAAATTAAATCAAAAACTGTCTGCCTTTTTCATGCTTTTTCGTTTTTTATACTGCAAGTAATATTGCGGGAACATCATAATTTTATGTTTGGTAATCAAATAACGGGAAATAATGTCTTGTCATTTTATGTCTTGTTTTGCACTATCTTTTAACATCCAGACGTCCACTGGTTAATCGTGACCTTTGCAATCATTGGGAAGATGGGAATCTCAGCGTCCTTCGTGATCATCTGGCTGTTCACAGCCGAGTGCTACCCCACAGTGATGAGGCAAGGCCAGGGGTTACAGCGTGCTAAAGCATAACATATACAGTACATTGTGTAACGTAGAAGGAGCAATTATAGCAAGTCTTAAATTGTTTATGAAGTTTCAGCAATGTTTAAAAACACTCGCTATTTGCGATTTTTTATTTTGTTTTATTTTCTGTTTCACAAAACGTTCCAGCTTGTCGCATTTTGCTTTGCCTTTGTGCTTAATCTATAAGCACGGCTTTCTCAATTTTATTAATTTTTTTAAGCAACTTGTTCGCTTTTTTTTTTTTTTTTTGGTTTGATTTTCATTTTTTCACAGTAAAGTAAAGGGTACGTTTTGTGGTGTTTCAGGATCATTGCTATTGGTATGGGGTCTGCCTTTGCACGATTCGGCAGTGCACTTGGTCCACAGATAATGATGCTGAAGGATTTCGTCTCCTATCTCCCTATGGTAATCTTTGGGCTCAGTGCTATTGCCGCTGGCTTTCTGGCCATGCTGCTCCCGGAAACAGTGAACCGCAAACTTCCTCAGAACATAAGGGAGTTTGACACGTTATTGAATTCAGCTGGGTAAGGAATACGACCATGTCTCTTATCTCTACACTCCTAATAATAAATTTTGTTGAAGGTCTTGCCCTTGTCTCGCGAGTGCTGCTGAAAAACATACATTGTACTGAAAAGGTACATCATAAATCTAAGGTTGTATTTATGATTTTAAAAAATCCATAAAGTTGCCCTTGGCAGAAAGGGATGTTTACCGTGATTTATTGAATAACATAGTTATATTTTGCACCAATGCCGTTTCAGATTGTTTGGTCACTGTAAGGCTGTCGACACCGAGTCCGACAATGACTCCGAATCATTTCGTACAGAAGACACGCCGAGCGACCCGGATGTAGATGCAAAACTGATGAAAAATGGCACTCCTGCTCACTCGGAAGATTGCACTACATCTGCTCCCAATAATGTCTGAAGACATGGATCTAAGTGATGTTTTATGTTGAGTTAGAAACAACGAAAACTGCAACCAAAAAACATTATTGGCAATTTGTTGGAGACATCATTTGGGCCAATATTCTATGCAATATCTCATCGAGTATCATTCTCTAATTCTCAGGTCCTACTGACACCTTCATCGGTGAGCGAAGCTCAACTCTCATTAGCCTAGTGCCACATAGTCCAATGAAAGATATCCTTTCTGGGATCTTTGCTCCAAATCGAATCTTCCTTGAGAAAAAAAGCAATATTTTTCTACTCCCGAATCATTGTGCCTCGCGTCCGTGAACTTGGATTCGATGTATTATGTCATTTCTGATGAAATGATTTAGCTTCAGATGCCTAGATATATAGACACAGAAGTTACGACTTAAGGGTATTTTCGTATACGGATAGCATACCTTAAAGAACGAAGTTAAACTATCAGTTTTATCGTATTTGGTTAAACATAGCCAACTTTGTCTTTTTTTTTCCATGAAAAGTCTCTTCATTTGTGTGTATTTGACAATTGCATCTTATGTTACACCAAGAAGTTACAACTTCTTGGTTACACGTTTTTTTAACGCATCGAAATGACAGTTTATTGTGGCTTTGCTGTGTGTAACCATGTTCAGGGTATCAGCAGTAACCAAAATCCCGTGACAACCACGCAAACCACGAGACGTCAATCACGATCTCGCGTGACCACAATTACTCTGACCTATCGTAATGGTGTCATGTCACTGGTGATAAACGGTAGTTCCAGGGCATAACGGAAAAACAAAAATTCGTTCTTATTATGATTTATGGTTCTGGCCTTTAATACACTTACTAGAAAGCTTATACGCTCACATTAATAATTTCCGGACGACTGATTTTAGAAATATTTCTATTCCAGTAAAACATGTTATGAAATAAAAGTAATGTAGGGCCTACATGTATGCATGCGTGGCGAGATTTGTGCATTTTCTTTATTTGTATGCAGAATAACCAGGCACCATTGTACTATATATTTTGCTGTGCAATAAGAAATGCACACTTATATACACAGTGCGCTAGCTTGAAAACCACATCTATAAAATATTAAAGCCCCAGGCTACCTCTCCGCCTTGACTCCTTCAAAATTAGGAGATGGACATGTGATAAAAATCAAAACACCAGGGGATCGCCAAAACACGTGTAATTGATACAAGTTTAAAAGGGGCATGTTTGGGCTCACGACTTACTCCCACAACAACCATTTTAAAAGTGATCTGACCCATCTGAGACCTCCCCGACACACGCACAAAATTACCTTCTAAAAACTACGGTATTTGCACAGGATTCTGTACCTCTGGGATAAAAAAGCCCTGCACGTAATGCAGATATTAATGCCGTTCCCATTGATATTTTCTTCGTGTGAATTATAAGAACTAGTAAATAATCTGTAATAAAACAATTTTCTGTAGATGGACCTCTGGTGTAGGCCCTATCGTTTAATTCTTCAGTTATCGCACCATTTGAAGAGAACGTTTCACGCAGTTTTCCTTTAGGTTCGTCATTTGACCCAAGTTCAAAGTTCCAACATGTCATAGTATTGAATAGAATAAGACAATAATATCTCAATTGAAAGAGTTTGGTGCAGGTGAAGAAGCCTAGGGTTTATATTTTCGGTGTACCCCCCACCACACACACACACACACAAACACACACACTTGATTTTTAAAATTCAGTTTATTTATTATTGGTTGATGGGGAAATGGGAGTAAAAAAGAAAAAAAAATAGGCCGTCTCAAAATACATTCACGGTGATTCAGTTCGTCGGAATGCCTTAGAAAAGATGAAAACGAAACACTATGTTGCACTTCTGTTTTCACAACAAAAGCATTTCCAAGTCGGTCACTTTCAGAACGAGTAACCGCATAGTATCGGTGCACTTCCGGGTCACGTGACTACTGTTATTCAAACTGTGCGTACTACATTACTCACGTTGTTATATATACGAGGAACGAGGGCCATGTATTTCATCGCATGACTAACGGGAAATGGTCCAAGGATGGGTCTTCAGTTCAGAAGAGATATAACATTAACAGGTAGGTGAAATCGAGGGAGTACTTTATAGTAGAAAGGGGTAAAATCAAATCGGCCACCGCAGGCTGTCCTCTGTACTGTAGGCAAGTGCCCTGCCCAAAAATGGCTGCCACCGTAAACAATGATCGGTTCTTCTACCATCAGCTACACATGTCATCTTTGGAGCAATATCTACTTCTGCTGGTTTGGGATCGTGTCTGGTGATCACTTTCTTGGAGTGGTCGTGATGGCAACGGCTGTTATTCAGACCAGTAATTGCTGTGTTGACACATATTGTCTCACAAAGTTCCGCACTGAAACTAGTAAATGGGAATTACTAGTCAGTTATGACTTGTACGAGGTGAACCGAATATTGAACTTCTTTGATCAGGAAAAGGAACAGGAGGTTCTTTAAACTTTCTCCTCCCTGTTTGCCCTATAAATGACTGATAATGTCAATGGTGAACATGTTCTGACTTCCTTTCTTCTGGCGCAATGCTTCAGAAATCATGGTTAACAAAAAACATGCAAATACTGGTACCTATTTTAAATACAGAAGAATTAATTATAGAATTTAATATTTACTGTTATTTATTATAGGAATAGATAAATGCCCCAGTTCACAATGAATTCTATATTAAATATGTATTTGATTAAACTCTACTTCTTAACAATATACTGAGATCATATCACACAGTATTGGCACAAGCTCCCCAATCATTTGCAAGGAATTCCTACAGCTACAGTGTAATGTATACATATCTAATGTAGACACATTTGGTACATAGTACACTGTGTGGTCTGGTGTGTAACCTCAGATATGATGTGTATGTGGCCACAGTGGGGGATGGGAATATCCAGAGACCATTGCATTAATTTAAATACAGCTTGGTCATTGACTCAACTAGCTAATAGGATTGCCCTGATAGTTAACTATTTGATCCCCTTTACAGCTGGTTTAGTGATAATTCATCAACGGAGCTCTTTATGAATGGGAAGTGATTTAAATTTGAAAAAAAGGGTCCTAATATGTTGCAGTATTGTTTATATATATTTTGACCCTCCCCTTTCAAGAAAAAAAGTAATAAAATAATAAATAAACAATAATAATAATATAAACAACCAAAAATAAGTATATGTGGAAAAGCACTTTAGGCAAAGTACCTGGCACTTTTTAACTGAAAAATGCAGAATGATAAATTCTTAAACTAGTTTACATGGAATAATGTTTGTCAGGCACCCAGTGCTCTGTCTTATTCCTTGTCTAAAATAACTAAGGAACCTTACTGTGCCAACAGCAAAGGACAAGATACATAAATCACTCCAGTCTTCCATCCTCTGTATTTAACCCAAGGAGACCTCTGTGATACTGCCCTTGTTAAATAACATCACCTGTAATAGCTGGACCAACTATGTATGCCATTAATGGCTCATGCTTAAGGGGGAAAAATGGATTGTTCTTTGCATGGTGTCCTTGTTGAGTTATCTTTAGTTGTGTTTAGACTAGGATGATCTTGGACTGGTGTTTGGCCTAAAATCTGCCATATTTTAGAATAGATCACTTTAGATCTTATGGGTTATAATGTTTCTCTGAATGTTAGTACATTTTTGATGATAAATGATTATAAATGGTAGTAGAAATAATAGATTACAATGAAAAATATATGATCTGTTTGTCTGAGGGTGGATTTTGAACTGAAATCCATTCCAGGTAAGTCATGGTCTGAATGTGACGAATAATAACTGAAAATCTACCATATAGTCAATGTCCCTTCAGGACCAAGTGAAGCAAAGACAATTAACAGCTATATTATCTGTATTAAATGGCCAAATGGTATTTGGGATGCTGTCCAAATGGGCTACACACTCCCAATGCCCTCATCAGGTTGTTAATGAAGGCAGTTAGAGAAATTGGCCTCATCTTTGCCACAAAGTGGTGCCCTTGCTTACTGCATGGTTCAACATGTGCTTGAGATACTCAGATTGGCTGCTAATTTTGTAAAGATTTGTCACGGGTATTTCAGACCTTACCTTTCAGGTCAATTTATACCTATAAAAATCTTCCTGTTTCATTTGCAGTTTTATAATATTGAAAATGATACTAACAACCCATTTTCCAGTTTCATTTCTGTATCTTGGTGTTTGTAATCACTTGTTACAAAGACATTATTCTGTGTTAAGTATCATAGGTTTTTTTTATCTGCCAAAGAATTCAGGAATTTTAGCTAAACCAGAAATTTGAACCAGTTCATCAATAATAAATTTTACATTTTCCTTGTTCAAATTAGAGTTTATTTATTTCTTGGTTTAAATGTAGAGTGCTAGTATGTGGGTCTACATTATACTGGGCATTATGGCCCTGGTGGACAAAAATGACCTTTTATAACATATTGCCACATATTTCTGATGCCTTTTTGCACACAGCTTTTTTTCCCTTATATAAATTTTTCTTGGCACTTTAAATTCCTGACCAGTAAGTCATAATGTGCAGACAACATTTCAGCTCACTTTATTCTGTGCAGCATCCATGCTGTTTCTAGTTTATTCCAGGCCAGGTTTTACACTATGTTCAAGTGTTTTTGTAATAAAAGATGAGATGTGTATCCTGATATTTCCACTCATATTTTACTTTATTTTCTATTGGCTCTGAAAGCTATGATGAAGATGTTTGACCTTTAGTCTTCCTGTTCTGAGTTGTTGTTTTTTTTCCGAATCTTGAGAAAGCATCATGCTTTGTTTTCAAGTGACTGTGAAATAAAATAAAAAATCCTATCAGGCAAGTCTATGTGAAAGTCTGTCACATTATATGTTCCTTAAAGAAAGTTGTTCAGTTCTCTCTTTGGATAAGAAATTAGGTTCCAGTGAAGTTTCAAAATATTTGTAGATCAGGATAAGTCACTTCTGTAATAGTTAATCTTCTTGGTAAACATTGCAGGGGAATGGACCTTGTTTGCATCACAAGTCAAGTATTGTATTAAATACTTAGTCAGGAAACCGAGAAAGCACCATATTTGAGGTCATGTTCACAATCTTTCTAACTATACCCAATTCCACTTGAACCAAACAACATATATTCACAACTGGGTATAGCTTTTCACTATAGATTATCATATCCATGCTATTATTGTTCTTCATTATTATTAGCTCAGCCCTGGTCTTTTTGAAAGAAAGGAGTTTTGGACCAATAAAGATCGGTATTGAAAAAATTGTCTGCAACTTTTCTGACAAATGTCAAATGATATATGATATTAATCAGCAGTTTCCAGCCAGGTTTTAGTCAAATAAATCACTTGTAATGCAATTGAATGTTAAACAGTAGACTTTGTTCTGGATTTTAGACCCCATTTCCAGAGATTAGATCGATCTACTTTAGATCGACCTAACTCCCTGGGGGTTCACGCTAAATAGCTGTCAGCCGAGCAGACACGAAAGTTAATTACCCCCTTACAGCTTGTAGTAGGCGGGAGGGACATTTAAGCCGGATTATCTGACAGTAATCTAGTTTGACGTAGTTTAGTTTATCGTAAACTAGTGCTCTTCTAGGTAAGAAGTCTGCTCAAAAGCATACCTATCGTAACATAGTGTTCTTCAGTGTTAGATGTCTAAACTCTGCACAAGAGACTAGCAATGGTATTATTTTCTCTGCATGGTATATTATTCTAGCAGCCACCCAACGCCTATATAACGTGTATGGGATTATTGTTTAGAAAGTTGACTGGTTTCACAATCAGTGGGATATGCCCGCATGCCTTGATTGAAGCCGTGCAGATGTACTCTGTTCATAAAATTGCTGCCCATATTGTTAGGATGTGAATGTAGAAAGTGAAAATATTAGTTTTTAATTTGCTCTGCATCTGTTAGCTGATGCTACTTGTAGTGATACTGTAATGAGAAACACAAAGAAAGGGATGTATATTGTATCAGTTTGGTTCTGTAGTGATTGGATTGACTTTAGCTTATAATTTTCTTTGGTTTAAGGGTTTCTCTCTCTCTCTAATTGAATTGAGAAATGAGATAACACATTTCATGGAAGATTAAGCACATTACTTCACAAATTAATCTTCTGTACTTTGTGAAGTCCCCATATGTTATGGCAATAAATCATTCACATTGCCTGGAATTATAACATGAAAATCAATTGCGATTGCGTTACGCCTGGAAACTTGAACATGACAAGTGCTTCCAGAATTTGCACTGGATACAGGCATATAATTAATTGTATTTCTTGTAATTTCGAGTCAATGTGTAGCAGGTTTCTTCCAGATTTATTGAAGTCAGCAAGAAAGCAGCAATGTCTGCCCAGAAGAATGTTCCCTCTCTTCAAATTTTGACTATTATTAGGTGATGCATGTTTGCTGTTCACATAGCCATATTTCTAGTAGGCAGTCCCAGAATTCTTACAAAATTTTCTTTTCCTGGAAATATCATAGTAACAGTTACCCCACTGCCCGCCACATATAGCCTGGGTGTGGTAAGAATCTCGGTGCTGGCATCCGGAAAATTTACCTCTTAAAGTTTATTTCACTGGTTGCCAAGGAGTTCATCTGTGTACATGAGAAAGGGAAGATCATTTGCTCCTAGATTTATAAAAAAAAAAAAAAAATGAAGAGATTTGTGTTTAAATTACTGCACAGATATTCTTAAAAATACAAATTCATCAAGAATCATTGTATTAGCCATGAGAAACATCAAGTGAAAGTGTAATATACTAGTTAATATACAGAGTAGTTTGGAGGTGAAGTGGCTTAGTTTGGACTAAATAAGTGTTTCAGTCCAGTCTGGTATGTGAACAGCTGGCTACTGGGTGTCAGTTAGCACATACTGGTAGAGAACTCTTAGGGACCATTCACACCCTTTCCCACTGAATGTGGATCAATCTATCTCCGAGGAGATTCGTGCTAAATTGCAATCAACTTAAGTGGCTTAGATGTCTATCACGCCTACTGAAGCTGCTAGGGGGTAATTAACTATCATTAAACAGCTTCAGTCAGAGTGCCAGACATCTAAGACCCTTAAGCTGAAA